ACCGAAGTGGTAAACGTCTGAGACCTGCAATACTTTCCTCCCACATTAAGCTGACACGCCGTGATATAACTGGAATACTGTTAAAACCAGCGTTAAAACAAAACTCACTCAGTCACTGTTCCCATGCACCTGGGATGTACATACATATATGCTGTGTACGTGGATGTACCTATACATAGATTATCAGACTGCTTCAGCCGGCTTGGAGACCTGCCTGGTTGTCCCCCTTACAATACGTAGCGAGCCATACCACTGTCATTGTTCACACAACGACTTGTATCATTAGCGCCTTTCTATTGCTTGGTTTTACATTCATGTGTTTGCTGTCAATTTGTTCTTTGGCTAAATTGTCATAATCTTCCCTGTGAACTAATCGAGCCCATGAGGTTCATGTTTTCTGGTCCATCACATGATTGTCTGGTTTGTTGACATGCTGCCTTCATGGCAGGGGTTGTGCTGTGTGGCGTCAGGCTACGACCTACCTTTTCATGCAAATTGTGAGTGGCAGGTGCTACCGGTAGGGCAGGACATGCTTACCTATTTCTCGAACACCTGGTGTCATTGATTTTCAATGGTCCATTCATACGATTGTCACTTCCTTTGCATTTTATGCCCAGTTGATTCTGTTTCATCGGAAAATCGATCCTTATTATTTGACGTAGACGGCTTTTTAAATATATTCTATATTTACATATATTCTATATTTACTATTGAAAGCCGCGAAACTCCCACACATCACTCCTTATGATCGAACACAAATTAAGCATCGTTCGTACAAATATATACTCTTCTTTAACGAAACTTCTTTAACGAGCTCAGTTTAGTACCACACTTTCCAGACAGATAAATGTTCATTCTGCACATTGTGATATGGTTCATGTATCAGCAAATGCAATCGACAAAACTATTTCATAATCACAAGGAAAGTCCGTTGTACTATTTCGACTATATCAGAGGCATGTGTTTATGAGTGAGTGAGTATGGTTTTACGCCGCTTTTAGCAATATTCCAGCAATATCACGGCGGGTGATGGGCTTCACATATTGTACCCATGTCGGGAATCGAACCCGGGTCTTCGGCGTGACGAGCGAACGCTTTAACCACTAGGCTACCCGACCGCCCCAATGTGTTTATGAATTTCCAAATAGTGATGATCAAACAACTTTTGAACAAAAGCTGTATGAGCCCCTTTTAAATCTTAGAAGGAAGAGCATGCTTGATTGTACTTCAAACGTTGTGAATGTAGCCGCCCGATTCGTTCTCGACATAAAGGGAATGTAGACTATCAAAATCTTTATCAATCACTTGGTTGATGCATGTCATCGCCTCCCAATTGCGTGGATCGAGGCTCATGATGTCAACCACTGGATTGTCTGTTCCAGACTCGATTATTTACAGACCGCCGTAATCTAGCAGGAATATTGTTGAGTGCAGCGTTAAACATCAAAGAAATATGTTATCATCTATATCCTTGGAGCACTTTAACATATAAATAAAAGCGGCAAAGCTGGCCTTACTGTGAACATAATCAATTTCTGCTTAGAGCAGAGTCCATTATACTATTCCGACTCTATCATAAGCATGTGTTGACAAATCACTAATAGCGTTTCTTTACCGGTAATATTTTTGTGAGAAACAGTACTTGAACCTTTTCAATTAGTTTACAATGATCACAACCCAATATTGCACAACCCCATACAGTAGTATTGGTTTTACCATAGCGTCAAAAATAAAGAGATAGAGTTGGCATTTTAAAGAGCGATTGTGGAAACGTGCCTTACGTAAGACAAACTACATTGCTTTCGTTGCTGGGTCACACTGAGTTTTAACAGATTTAGAAAAGTTATTATTGCTTTGGAAATACATACCAAGATATTTAAATTCATCCACAAAATCCAAATAATTTTCATTAAAAATAAATTTTCTACTTTTGTTAATTTTAGCATCACCGAAAATAAGGACCTTCGTTTCATCCCTGTTTACAAATAGTTGCCACAATTTACAATACGTTTCAAAACAATTAAGTTAGTTTTGTAGGTATTTCGGTGTCAGGGCCAAACGAGCTGTGTCGTCGGCATACAGAAGTACAAATAAAACTAGAGTAATATCTACAAAACAGCCAAGTGTAGCTGAATCGATCTCCAATCCTGTACGGGGCGGTCGGGTAGCCTAGTGATTAAAGCGTTCGCTCGTCACGCAGAAGACCCGGGTTCGATTCCCGACATGTGTACAGTGTGTGAAGCCCATTTCTGGTGTCCCCCGCCGTGATATTGCTGGAATATTGCTAAAAGCGGCGTAAAACCATACTCACTCACTCACTCACTCCAATCCTGTACAATCATGTTGCGTAAAATAAGATTCTAAATCATTCAAATACAAGGAAAAAAGAATTGGCGATGAATGTTCCCCTTGGCTGAGTCAACATTACAATCAAATCACTCTGACTTTAAACCATTCACAGACACATACGAGTTGATGCCATCATACATTGATCTTATAATACGAAAGCATTTTCCATGAATTTTCTGGGCTAATAATTTACACCAAGTACCAGTACTCCATACACTAACAAAATCCTTTTTAAAATCTATCAAACTGCAGAACACTTCGATTAAGCTATGGAGTATGAATATGTGATCAATGGTAGAATATGTATGTCTAAATCCTGCTTGTGCTTCTGATAGAATGTTTATATTTTCCAAGTAAGTGTTCATTCTAGACCCTAGAATACCAGTGAATATTTTACCTAGACAGCTAATTAGACTAATAGGACGATAATTTTCCGGTTTGTTTGGATCTCTTTCCCTTCATAAATTGGTGAGTGAGTGAGTGAGGTTTTACGCCGCTTTTAGCAATATTCCAGCAATATCACGGCGGGGGACACCAGAAATGGGCTTCACACATTGTACCCATGTCGGGAATCGAACCCGGGTCTTCGGCGTGACGAGCTAACGCTTTAACCACTAGGCTACCCGACCGCCCCTCATAAATTGGTCTTATAATACCATTATACACCTCTGACTGTTCATTTGTATTGATCGTTAGGTTTCTTCAAACTTGAGAAAGACCCACATGAGGTTTTACTTGCGTAGAAAACCCGGGACTTGATTTTCATCGTTATAAAAAATTACATATTTCAGATCAAGTCCCCAGGACTTCCATACCCTTTTTAAAAACCCGCAATACTAGATTTTCTTCACTTTAATTGAAGTTGACATTTACAATGATATTCTTTGCAGGCCATTAACGGGTCGCCAAAACGATACACAAATTCATCTTCATCGGGCCGTTCTTCGTCACAGTCATCTGCATTTTTAGTTTTCGTTTGTGTGAGAAATAAATCGTCACCTTCCTCTTTCTCCCACATCTTGCCACTAAATGAAACTCGACTGTAAGCTGTCCACATTATGACGGAGACGCTCACGGGCAATGCGTGCGTGCACGACCAGCACGTGCATGACACCTGTAGTCGTCACTCAACATAGCTCACGGATGCGTTTATAGTCTCGTTATATCGCATATATAGATCCTCGTTATTGCGTATCTCAATTAGAATTAACTTTGTCGGTTTATTAGTCAGATAAAACACTTATCCTCGGTTTTGGTTGAAAATGTAAACCACTGGTCAGGGAAAACACCTGACTCAAGGATTGTATTAAAAAGTTTAAGGTACACAGGCATCATAACCTCAGATCTATTTATAATTTTTCTCGTTTACAACTGTATCAGGTCCACAGGCTTTGCCTTTTTTGGCCTAATAATGGACACCCAACTATTGTAACAACAACTACCCAGCCATGATTGTATTTACAACCACCAAGCAATTGTATTAACCACCCAGCCATTGTATTAACAACCACCCATCCATTTTATTAACAACCACCCAGAAATTGTATTAACAACCACCCATCCATTTTATTAACAACCACCCATCCACTGTATTAACAACCACACATCCATTTTATTACCAACCACCCAGCCATTGTATTAACAACCCAGCAATTGTTTTAACAACCACCAAGCAATTGTATAAATAACCACCCAGCAATTGGGCTTGGGGCAAGCTGTGTGAGTGTGTCTGCTACATGAGTCATCCCTTGACAGGTACAAGCGCATTCCTGAAGCTCCGTCGTAAGTGAACCTGAGTTATGAACGTTGTTGTATATCGTGTAAGAAATCGATAAAGGGAGATAACTGATGTGTTCATATTCTTCGGACTCGGGCGAACGTGCAAGTCTTTCGCGACAACTGTATTTATATGGAACCCTTGCAGGGACACTGTCGCGTTGTCGCCTAAAAGCCAAGCAAAACGACACAATTAACCGAAGCGCGACAACACGATATGTCCCATTGTTGCCCTTTGAGTAATGTTGTTTGTTTGTTTTCTTTACAGAGAAATTATGAAGTTTATCTGTTCTTTCATTTGATTAAAAAACGATTTGGTATGAAAAATAATGCTTCTATAGCTTAAATATATCTAAAGTATCTCACCCGCGTGTCATTTGATATCAAATATATCAACACGAATTGATAAGTGGAAAAAACTCCGAGGCTTGCCGAGGACATTTTCCACTTTTATCAACGAGTATTGATGTATTTGAAATCAAAAGACACGAGGGTAGATTTTATTTATCATCCAGCATCATTCTTCCAACTTTTTCATTTTGTAGACAGTAATAAGCAGTGTCAGTAGCAGCTTCAGTAGCAGAGCCATTAGTAATGTCATTTGATTGTGACGTCATGGTAACCATTGTATTTGATGATAATACACATTCGCCATATTTTCTTCGTCACAGCAAGTCATATGGAAGTTCTTGATTCGCTTGAATAGAATACTTCCTGTCCGTTTTTTGACGTGATGAGAGTATCTTGAGATAATACCATAAATACCTTGAAAAATATCGCATTATCGCCCAGTCTAAAATTCTATAAGAGGGCGTTAAAATATACGCGAACGCGACAGCGCAATAATGTCCCCAATAGAATTCCATAAATTTAGACGATTGCGAAATCCAGGCGGATATGTAAATAACGGTGAACGAACTGATCTGCGATCATATATTTGCTTGGATATTTGCACGGTAGACACTGAACTATACTCGTTCTTTCAAGGTAAGTGCACACACACATACACACACACACACACACACACACACACACACACACACAACAACAAAAACCAGTGAAGGGTTAGAATTGTTCATCAGCTACCCATGCTTGTCGTAAGAGGCGACTAACGGGATCGGGTGGTCAGGCTCCCTGACTTGGTTGATGCATGTTATCGTATCCCGATTGCGTAGATCGATGCTCATTTCAATCACTGGATTGTCTGGTCCAGATTCCTAAATTTTTAGACCGCCGCCATATAGCTTGAATATTGCTTGAGTTCGGCGTTAAACAACAAACAAACTTGACTATCTCAAGCACGACATCCGCAATGCCTAATGCCGTGTGTATCCGCCATTGTCCTGAACAACTGCTGGGGTTCCGTTCCGCGCACATAAGTAATGTGTCCCCACATCATGACACATCCTCCACCTAAAATGTTGACTTCTTGTACGCTTTACACACACAAATACTAATAATATTAAGGTTAAAATGTTGTCATATATTTTTTTGGTCTTGATTGAAGGACTCAAATCGGAGTTGGTATTAACATACATTGATACAGTAATTGTCAGTGCGAAAGGTCAGAAATGTTTGGAGTGAGTGAGTGAGGGGGTGAGGCAGAGAGTGAGTGAGTAAGTTGGGTTTCACGCCGCTTTATTTCTATTCCAACCCGGTGTTTCAGCTTAACGCTGGGTCATCCATATGAGCATGTGTGTTTCCAGATGGGACCTGCGAGGACCCGGGGTCGAATAGGTCTACAGCAACCCATGCTTGTCGTAAGAGGCGACTAACGGGATCGGGTGGTCAGGATCCCTGACTTGGTTGATACATGTCACCGTATCCCAATTACGTAGATCGATGCTCATAGTGCAATCACTGGATTGTCTGGCCCAGGCTCGTTTAATTGACTGCCGTCATACAGCTGAAATATTGCTGAGTGCGGTGTATTGAGTAGCAAGGCTTCCCATATCAGGATTCTAATCCCGGATACTTTTATTTGTCAGAACCATCCTTGCGTCTGTTTAGTTTCACCTAGTGGTCCACGTCTTGGATCTGCATCACGTGTTGCATTGGCTTTCCTCTTCCATGAAGCAGCCTGGTGGTTAAAGCGTTCGCTCGTCACGCCGAAGACCGGGCTCGATTCCCGACATGGGTACAATGTGTGAAGTCCATTTCTGGTGTACCCCCGCCGTGATATTGCTGGAATATTGCTAAAAGCGGCGTAAAATCATACTCACTAACTTACATGAAGCTGAAACGCACTGGCATAACTGAAATATACTGCTCAAAGCGGCTTTAAATTAAACTCACTAAATGTTATGGCCTTATTATATGACCATGTGATATTGACGCTTGAGGCCCAGTTAATTATCAAACAACGGTTGCCAAATCCTGAGGAAATACCAGACCAGTACCTCATGATCAAACTTGTCTCCCTGTGGGGATACCGTGCCAGAATAATCAAGTACCATATGACTAGACCGCCGCCGTGTGGTAGAACGTCCTCCCGGAGAGCAGGAGGCCCGGGGTTCGATCCCCTCACCGCGTCACACCAATACACTTTTAAAGATGGAACTTGTTACCCTGCCTGGTACACAGCATTAATGGGATAGAACAAGGAGTCAATATACTGTGTCTGAGCGGTGTATACATGTTTCACATTTCGGCATGGTATCTCATTTGGTACCTTAAAACCGGCAATACTCCAGACTTGTACAAGCAGACACACCCACGCGCGCGCAGACACACACGTCCACGCGCACGAACGCACACATGTGTGTTTGTTTGTTCTTGATACCGTTGTTTAAATGTTTAACTTCTCATGATAATGTCCATTGTTTCCAGATGTCTTTTTCCGGTTCGGGGGACAACGACCTGAACGTGACCTCCACAGTCCTTGAAGCACGCCCATATGGATCGACCGGTGGACAGATCTTCTTCTCCTTCATCTACATGCTGTGGATCGTTCTCGCCAATGGCTTCATCCTCTTCCTCATCGTCAAGGATAAGACTCTTCGCCAACAGCCTCACAATGTCTACACGGTGCTTCTCTGCCTCGCTGATCTTACAGTTGGGCTGTATTATCTCCCCCTGAATATGGACTTCCTGTCTAGAGGGCGCTGGGGACATGATTGTTCATCATTAGGCGTCTTTGCATTCTACCCAATATTCAACACCTGTTTTTGTGCGTTCACAGTGTTTATGCTCATGTTCGCCCGTCTGATGAGTTTATGCTGCTGTTGGAGACAAACACCAATGTCATTGAAGAAACGGTTTATTTTCCACGGACTTTCTGTACTGATCGTGTTAGTCTATATTTTCATGATTCCTGTCTTGTTTACCGTTCAGCCAGGTACCTATAGAAACAATGACCGTGGCGAGTCAATACCAGACTTTTTAGGAAACGCGCCAGCAAATGGCAATATAATATTTACGTGTCAAGTATTGAGAGGGTTTGATTTTATCACTCGCTTTTTGGTAGTTCTATCAGGATTCTGGGCTCCAATGTTTTTCCCCATCGTGTTTCTTGCTATTATCCTGATCATGATCACAAGGGCCGGAGCACCCGAACAGTCAAACCAGGACAAGTCCAAGGTCCCCGTGAAGGTTCTCATCGTGGTCTTCTTGGTGTCGTTCCTCATCCCGAGTGGGTACATCTCATACCTCTCTTGTGTCCTACCAGCGCCCTGTGTGTTTCTGCCAACGCAGGGACCTGACTTCACCTGTGACGGAGCAATAGGAGGACTGTCCGTCTTCCTTCAGTGGCTGCTGATCACCAAATGCGGAATTCTCCCCTTTGTTTGGTTGCTTGGTGAAGATTACCGAAACGCAGCAAAACCAATGATTCGGAGCTTAGAACCTGTTCTGAAGATTTGTAGGAAGAGGTGGAATGCCGAACAAGAGCTGAGGAACACGGACCCTGGCAGCAATGAATTTGACGATATTGAATAAATGACTTTGGCAAAATACTTTCCCTGCAGGCAAAAAGCGAGTCAAGTCAATAAGTCATTCAATATGTTCCTCTGTTACTGATCGGAGGGGGGGGATCACTTCGGGCTTTCCTCCCACATTAAGCTGACCCGCCGTGATATAACCGGAATAATGTTAAGACCGGCGTTAAACCCATATCACTCCCTCCCTCTAGTCTGATCCGGTCCATTTAGTATGAGAGGGTCCGTGTTGCTGTAAACGTACACACTCCAATTACATACCATGGTTATTCCATGGTAATGGGTTTGATACGGGTATCTCGCTTTGTGACGTCAACTTTGACAGACCGGGGCATATACCATATCCGGAAATGACATCATCAGAGAAATAGTCAATGCTATTAAAATAGGGCTGTGTGGTATATAAATATAATTTCCTGTAAAATACTGTATATCGAGCTGCTGTGGTGTACCGTATGGGGGACAGATTGTTGTGGGACCGCCATTTTGTTTGAAGCAAATGTTAGCGATATGAGAGGTGGAAACTGATTGGCGTTGACAGATATTTTCCAAATCTTTTCATTTTTTAATCAAAATGATCTGATGCACTTCGCGGGATAAGACCCGTTTTATTACAATATAGACTGATTATCGACCAGATGGTCTTGACTGGGCGCCGCCATTTTGTTTTGAAACAAATACAAGTGATATGAGAAGTGGAAACTGATTGGTTAATAGGAGGGGACATAAAAGGGACATAACCCGTAGTAGCCACAGGTGGCGCTACGATCGAGTCCAGAAATTCTAGCCTAGTTCGGCAAGGGTGGAAACTGGACTTTTATAGTCAGTTAACGCCTTGCCTCCGGAAGATGGTTATAACCTAGCACGTATAGAAGGTAAACCTGCTCCTATAACATTTCATCAGTGGACTGACAGGAAAATATTGAATTACCAACCTATGGTAAATTGTTTGATAGGCATTTCTTAGAAGTTGGCGGATGGCAAAGTACACATGTAGACACAATTTATGCCTAACAACTTTTTATTCTGGTTGTCAGAGAATCGTATACTGTTTATGTAGTATCTAGCGGGAATTCCCGCACTGCAGATTCAGGGTAATATTTTGTATTATTGGTGCAACTGTTGATTGTTCATGACATTTAGAGTAAAATGTTGTCACAAAATACTTGTTGTTATTGACTGTAAAACAATCAGTGTTCATCGAAACACGGCGGGGAAGCCAAGCCGGTGGCTAGCCAAGTGAGGTGGTAGCAAAATGAAAGGGAAGCCAAGTGGGGTGGTAGGCAAGTGGTGGGGTAGCCAAACTGTAGAGAAGACAAACTGAAGGGTAGCCAAGTCGGGTGGTAGCCAAGTGGTGGGGTAGCCAAACTGTAGAGAAGACAAATGGAAGGGTAGCCAAGAAGGGTTGTAGCCAAGTGGTTGGGTAGCCAAACTGTAGAGAAGACAAATGGAAGGGTAGCAAAGTGGGGTGGTAGCCAAGTGGTGGGGTAGCCAAACTGTAGAAAAGACAAATGGAAGGGTAGCCAAGTAGGGTGGTAGCCAAGTGGTGGGGTAGCCAAACTGTAGAGAAGACAAATGGAAGGGTAGCCAAGTGGGGTGGTAGCCAAGTGGTGGGGTAGCCAAACTGTAGAGAAGACAAATGGAAGGGTAGCCGAGCGGTGGGGTAGTCAAGCAGTAAGGTAGTCAAGTATTGGTGTAGCCAAGCAGTAGGGTAGAAAAGTAGCGTTTCAGCAAAGTTGGGTGGTAGCCAAGAGGTGGGGTAGCCAAACTGTAGAGAAGACAAATGGAAGGGTAGCCAAGTGGGGTGGTAGCCAAGTGGTGGGGTAGCCAAACTGTAGAGGAGAGAAATGGAAGGGTAGCCAAGAAGGGTTGTAGCCAAGTGGTGGGGATAGCCAAACTGTAGAGAAGACAAATGGAAGGGTAGCCAAGAAGGGTGGTAGCCAAGTGGTGGGGTAGCCAAACTGTAGAGAAGACAAATGGAAGGGTAGCCGAGCGGTGGGGTAGTCAAGCAGTTAGGTAGCCAAGTATTGGTGTAGTCAAGCAGTTAGGTAGTCAAGTATTGGTGTAGTCAAGCAGTTAGGTAGTCAAGTATTGGTGTAGCCAAGCAGTTAGGTAGTCAAGTATTGGTGTAGCCAAGCAGTTAGGTAGTCAAGTATTGGTGTAGCCAAGCAGTTAGGTAGTCAAGTATTGGTGTAGCCAAGCAGTTAGGTAGTCAAGTATTGGTGTAGCCAAGCAGTTAGGTAGTCAAGTATTGGTGTAGCCAAGCAGTTAGGTAGTCAAGTATTGGTGTAGCCAAGCAGTTAGGTAGTCAAGTATTGGTGTAGCCAAGCAGTTAGGTAGTCAAGTATTGGTGTAGCCAAGCAGTAGGGTAGAAAAGTAGCGTTTCAGCAAAGTTGGGTGGTAGCCAAGAGGTGGGGTAGCCAAACTGTAGAGAAGACAAATGGAAGGGTAGCCAAGTGGGGTGGTAGCCAAGAGGTGGGGTAGCCAAACTGTAGAGAAGACAAATGGAAGGGTAGCCAAGTGGGGTGGTAGCCAAGTGGTGGGGTAGCCAAACTGTAGAGAAGACAAATGGAAGGGTAGCCAAGAAGGGTGGTAGCCAAGTGGTGGGGTAGCCAAACTGTAGAGAAGACAAATGGAAGGGTAGCCAAGCGATGGGGTAGTCAAGTATTGGTGTAGCCAAGCAGTAGGGTAGAAAAGTAGCGTTTTAGCAAAGTTGGGTGGTAGCCAAGAGGTGGGGTAGTAATGTTTTAGGGATAACCAAGTGGTGGTAGCAAAGCGGTGGGGTGGTCAAGCGGCGAGGTAGAAAAGTTGCAGAGTAAACAAGCCGTGTGGATGGCGGGTCATCGCGTGTTTCGTTGCTCATGATATCAACCACTGGTTTGACTGGCTCGGATGGATTATATACAGGCCGCCCTCGTGGAGCTGGAATGGGTGCAGCGTAAGACAACAGAGAAACAAGTCATCGGTACAGAGCGGTCTCAAGTGTTCGAATCATTCGTAAAAGACACTTACATTTGAAAATATCACACACAGGCCTTTCCACGCGTATCTGAACCTGTAAACGGATATAGCTCCGAATAACATGGACCAGGTGAGCTACAGTGCTATTTTGTATTTCCTTCAAGTTTCTATGACTTTGTTCTGTGTAAACACTATATCTGTTGTTTCCTGGAAACCAAAATCTTTTGTAATCTGAAGTCGGGCCTTCTTAAATTTATAGTTTTGAAATAAATGGCGTTACATTTTCATAGAATAGTATGGCGGTGGAACAACTTTGTTCCATCAGCCTCGAAATGGGTACAAGAATTAGTGAGACAAGTTGCGCAGTTTGAGCAGTTGCGTGATAGTGATAGAGTTGCGTGATTGTGATAGAGTTGCGTGATTGTGATACAGTTTCGTGATTGTGATACTGTTGCGTGATTGTGATAGAGTTGCGTGATTATGAAACAGTTGCGTGATTGTGATATAGTTGCGTGATTGTGATACAGTTGCGTGATTGTGATATAGTTGCCTTATTGTGATACAGTTGCGTGATTGTGATACAGTTGCCTTATTGTGATACAGTTGCGTGATTGTGATATAGTTGCGTGATTGTGAGTGTCCCGTCAACTTGGATGGTGTTGTCCGTCCTATGACATCAATCATATGTGTAATTACCAATTAATTAAGGATGCAGCCGGTTGTTTCTACCCACGGGAATATTTATAACTATACGCTTGAATTATCATTAGTTGAATAAAAGCGACAAAACCAATTCCAGAATCATAAAATAATCATAAGATGTAATCCCCTGTAAACTTCCGACTATACCATCCGCGTGTGTGTTTGAATCATTATCAACTAGTGATGATATCAGGCGTATCCTGCCTCACCGGTGGCACCCGTTACAAACACATGCAAAGGCAAGCCAACTGTGAGGTGAGGTGAAATTGGGTTTAACGTCGCTTCCAAGATTATTGCACTTATATACTGGCGTGCATGTACGTGTGTGTGTGTGTGTGTGTGTGTGGCTGCTTGTACTAGTCCGGACTAATGCCCATTTATAGTGCGAGCTCACTGAGATACCATGCCGCAGTTTAACATGAATATCCCACTCTGACACAGTATACTGAGTCCGAGCCGACCTGTCTTGTTTTAGCACTTTTATACCGAGCGCCAGACAGGGTGACAACAAGTACCATCTTTTAACGTCTTTTGGTACGACGCGGCCGGGGATCGGAACCCCGGATCTTCCGCTCTCCGGGCGGACGCTCTATCACTAGACCACGGAGGCGGTCCAAGCCAACTGTTGAAAAAACAACAACACGGAAATATATGGTACAAGTTAAAGAAATTTTCAAATAATAATATGGATTCTTGCCACTTTCATCTCTGCACGCATATTAGCAGGAACATTTTAGTGATGTGTTTCCATGGAAATGTTAAAATTGCCCATGTTTCGTCATATATAGATATACGTCGGATTTTCAACCGGGGCCGGTTTAGTCTGTAACACAGAAGGTATTTGGTATTTGTTTACATATTAAACGTGATAACTAATAAAATATCACATGCGTGCTCGTTACCTACCTTTCTGTCAACGTTTTCTGTGTTAATCTTTATCAACGAACAAACGTTAATTCATCCTGGCCAAATGTATGTCAGGTACTGTTTCAACAATTCACTAAGACATTCCAATAAACGCTGACGTGAAGTCTATATCACGGCATTAGGTTTATTTGAAGGTTCCGCCGGCAGCAAGGACACCGGAAGGGTATGTCATTCGCTGTAATGGAGGTCGTGTTCGAATGGTCAAAGGGAAAGAATTCATGCATCGCTACAAAAACATATATAGCACGACAGTGGTGTTGAGACAGGTACTGTGTGAAAAGTCGACACGCAAGGGCAGGCAACATGTGTCATCGCTCATGTCTTTCCGTAACCTACAGCTTTATTACGTCATGCATCAATCGCGTCTTTCCGTAACCTACAGCTTTATTACGTCATGCATCAATCGCGTCTTTCCGTAACCTACAGCTTTATTCCGTTATGCATCAATCGCGTCCTTCCGTAACCTACAGCTTCATTCGCCATGCATAAATCGCATCTTTCCGTAACCTACAGCTTCATTTGCCATGCACCAATCGCGTCTTTCCGTAACATACAGCTTCATTCGCCATGCATCAATCGCGTCTTTCCGTAACCTGCAGCTTCGTCATGCATCAATCGCGTCTTTCCGTAAGCTACAGCTTCATTCGCCATGCATCAATCGCGTCTTTCCGTAACCTACAGCTTCGTCATGCATCAATTGCGTCTTTCCGTAACATACAGCTTCATTCGCCATGCATCAATCGCGTCTTTCCGTAACCTACAGCTTCATTCGCCATGCATCAATCGCATCTTTCCGTAACCTACAGCTTCGTCATGCATCAATCGCGTCTTTCCGTAACATACAGCTTCATTCGCCATGCATCAATCGCGTCGTTCCGTAACCTACAGCTTCATTCGCCATGCATCAATCGCATCTTTCCGTAACCTACAGCTTCATTTGCCATGCATCAATCGCGTCTTTCCGTAACATACAGCTTCATTCGCCATGCATCAATCGCGTCGTTCCGTAACCT